CAAAATATAGAAATGTGTGCAGATAGCAAGTGTTGTGTTTGGATTACTATTCATTCTGCTAGAGGATGCAATAGTACCATAAAAAGTGACTCCCAACGGAATATTTCTTGATAGAAGAAAAAAAATATTCATCCAGCCTCACTTTTTTTTATCTCATCAATTACATCAATAGACTATATAGTTAAGAAGAGAACAAACATATAAAACACATTTTTCGAGCAAAATTTATCATTTTCCTATTCGCTAACACACACATATTCCCTCACCATGTACCGCACCCAATCATTATTTCGCTAATTCTTCATTGTTACTTCTTATCTCAAATCCAATCAGTTGTCCAAAAGGAAAAAAGAAAATGATATCACATGAAAAGAAAAAAAAAAAAAAAGTAATGAAAAAAAAAAGGAAGAGAAAGTTGAAAGTAGTGGCAGAGAATATGCCTAAGACATTCAATGCCATATGTTGTGCAAACATGAGAAAGAGAAGACAAGCAAAAGCTTATACTTTCCGAAGTATATCTTTATTCTTCATTGGATCAGCCAATTAAAAAGAAAACAAGGAAAAAAGGAGAAACAACAATTAAGACCATGTAATGGTGAATAAAATTATATACCTGATGACCCCTGCAAATGAAGTCCAGATCATTTCTCTCCAAAAACTCCGCAACCACATTGGGCCCAAAAGTACAAGAAACGCCCCTATCACTATCGGCCTAGCCCACTATCCTAGGATCAGGGTCAGACCAAAGCAAATCAGAAAGGAGGCCATTATCCGGAATGTCAGAGGGCCTTGGGAGCCCATTTATCTAATCCAAGTGATTCAGCTCCGGAGAAAGCCCTCCGTGCATGCAAAGTATTTTCTCGTCGATTAGTGCAGAAACAGGCAAACAGTTGAAACAATCGGTGAATATTTTCCATAGCCGAACGTCGAATCTCCTCTTACATTCTTCATAGAATCCATAAATACGGTTGATTTTGGCATCTTCGTGGTTTCCCCTCAAGAGGAATATTTGTAAGCCAATAGTAAACATATTGTTTCGACTCTGCTTGCCTCTATCAACATAATCTCCTAGGAATATTTGTAAGCCAATAGTAAACATATTGTTTCGACTCTGCTTGCCTCTATCAACATAATCTCCTAGAAAGAGGTAATTTGCATCAGGGGGGTACCCACCATACTCAAACAGCCTCAAATGATCCTGGTACTGTCCATGTATATCGCCTGTAACAGATATGAGAATCGTCAAGCTAAAAGGCTATGTTTGGTAAGTGATGTAGGGAAGGATAAACAAGTAAACGAAATACTCTCTCGTAAACACGTAAAACTCAACAATATTTTATTTCCATTCAATAATCAACTCCCCTAATAACAAAGCACAAGAGCCCTTTAAATAAGACACTTGAACTAAACCCTAGCTTATTCTCCAAGCTAAATAATAATAATAATAATAATAATAATAATAATAATAATAATAATAATAATAATAATAATAATAATAATAATAAATTTCTGCATCAGTAAGCCTAGCTGATATATAAGCTAGCTCGTAGCTTTTAAGTGAAGTTTGAGTTTAAACCTGAAAGCTTATGACTTATGGCTGGAAAACTAGCTTATATGATAAATGTGTTTGATAAAATTAGTTGATAATCTAGCTTAAATATAAAATTTTCAATGGGCTTATTTGAAAAGCTACCAAAGAAGCTTATG